AAAAGAGGAAGACCCCCAGTGAGATGGATTGGCCAAGTGGCAGCATTGATGGACTCAAGCATGGCAACAGTAGTGAGGTTGGCCCAGGATCAGGCAGTTGGTACAGACTTGATGGCACCTAACAACAACAGAAATCAGTGTCAGACACAAATGTTGTTAGTTGCCATTGAGTTGACTTAGGGCTGAATTTGCATATGAACAATTGATTGTCTGTTTCACAGTCAGCCCCTGACCTTTGTTTCACTGATGACATTGAGATTTCCCACTGTCTTTTCCCAAAGATTTTGTGGATCTTTGTGTACTCCATCTGATGAGATGTATGTATGTATTTGCAATGAATACATCATTGGTTTTGCAAAATTCTATCATGCCAAATCAACACCATTTCTAACACGAAGGTACTATTTTCCAACTACTGATCTTTCCTCTTTGTTTCCAACTTTTACATTCCAATTACCAGTAATGATCACTACATCTTGATGGCAAGTGTGATCAACTTCCATGTTTGGTGCAGAAATTTGAATAAAAGTGGTCTTCCTTGTAGGCGTATGGATATTATCTTGTCACAGACAGCACTACTTCAAGATAGATCTAGAAATGTTCTTTATGATGATGAATGGGATGCCATTCCTGTTGAATATGTCATTCCCAGCATAGTAAACAATAGGATTGTCAGATTCCAAATAGCCAATACCTGCCCATTTCAGCTCACTGGCGGTGGTGGTGTGCATGGAATCAGTTCTGACTCATAGCGACCGTGCATAGGATTTCCAAGGATCTAAATCTTTATGGAAGCAGAAAGCCTCACCCTTCTCCTGCGGAACAACTGATAGTTTTGAACTACTGACCTTGAGATTAGCAACCCGACTCACAACCACTATGCTATGAGAGCTTCCTTTGGATATCGATCTTAATGCATTCCATTTTGTTTTTGACAACTTCCAATTTTCCAAGATCAGTACTTTGTACATTCCATGTTCTGATTATTAATGGATATCTGCAGCTGTTTCTCCTCATTTTGAGTTGTGACCCATTTCCATAACTGTCAATCCTACAGCTCTTCCCCAGTTGTATTTTTATTTTGAATACCTTCCAACCTGAGAGTTTATCTTCTGGCACTGTACCATCACAATATTCTGATGGTGTTCATAATGTTTTCATTTTCCGGCACTATATCTGGCTCCTGATGTGATGCTGTAAGATCAGCACTGGACTTTTAACCACAAGGCAGGCAGTTCAACCAACTTTGGAAACTCTGTACAACCTTTGAAACCTATACAAGGTCACTATGAGTCAGAACCAACTCAACAGCACTTAACAATAATAACAACATATCTGGCAATGTTCTGTTGCTCCGCATAAGATTGTCAGTGGCTAAACTTTCAGAAGTAGTCTTCCTCTCCTTCTTCCTAGTCTGTCTTAGTCTGGAAGCTCTGCTGAAACCTGTCCACAGTGGTGACCCTGCTGCAATTTAAAACACTGATGACCTAGCTTCCAGTATCACAACAACACACAAGCCACCACAGGACCACAAACTGTCAGACGAGTGGTGGCTGACACAAATAAGGCAATAACATTTATCAGAAAACAAAGGGGATGAAATTGGTGCTGCTGATGCCCTGTTACAGGGACAGACAAATTTAGATAAAGCCCACTGAGAATGACCAAGTCAAATAGGAGTGGATGTTTGCAGAATTGCTACCTAAAAACCCACCCACAGCCTTCCAGTCAATTCCAATCCATACCAACCCTAGAGGACAAAGACTGCAAATCTTTATGGGCACAGACAGCCTCGTCTTTCTCCTTCAGAGTAGCTTGGTGGCAGTCCAGTGTTTAACCCTCTGTTCCAGCAAGTCTTCTTTACATACAAACAGAAGCACTATATCTTTTGGGACTTATAAAGAAAGGCAAGTGGGTTGTTGGGACAAATATCTATAGACTGTTCTGTACTTGAAAGCTAATTTTTCCCTTTGTTGGTTTAACTCAAGATAGAAAAATTACCTAACCTTTCTGTATCTGTTTAGTCATCATCAAAGTAGAAATTAATGACAGAACCTACCCCATAGGAAGATTTTAAATCCTATAAATTATGTATGACTTAATGTAAGTTTGAAACAGTATTTGTCACATAAGTGCACAATACATATTAGCTATAATTTTAAAAAATACATTATGATTTTGGAGAAAATTTATATTGCAAATTAGGTTCAGATTTAACCATTTCTATATAAGGTTGGTTGTTCAAGCTCATCAGCTGCTCCTTGGAAACCTATACACAGTCGGAATCGACTCGATGGCACTTAACAACGACAAAATACATATTATTCAATAGTGCTGGTTATACAATATATTCACATTCTAATTATTTCTATTCTGGTGGTTCTGTTTACATTACACTAGCTTCCGTGGCCCTTTTCACCTCATCTTTGGTATAAAGTAAATGTTGACCATTAGGTCTCATTTATATAATGGTTGAAAGGAGCGCAGTACTCACCGATAATACTATTTATTGTATGAACCACTCTGTCCGTTGACTGACAGATGACCCCCAGCAGTGGTTTGAGTTCCAAGTTTATAAGGCATCCCAGGGCTGTATAGTCTTGGGAATTCTTCTAGTCTCAGTCAATCTAATAAGTCTGATCCTTTTTTTAAGAATTTGAGTTTTATTCTGTATTTTTCTCCATTCGACCCAGTACTATCTATATATTTTGTCCCTGGTCATAGTAGTCCGTCTCATGTGGGCTTTTACTACCATGGACTAGTTTCATCTTTGAGTCTTTAATTTTCTTCATTCTCTTTTGCTCTATATGAATAGATACTAAGTTGTATCTGAGATGACCACTTGAAAACTTTTAATATTACAGATATTATTTCCCAAATTAGGATGTAGGACATTTTCTTGTGAATTATGTTGTGACAACTGACTAACTTGCCCCCTAAGACTATGGTCCCTAGACTTTTAAATCAGTAAACCAATCCTCAATGTTATTTGTTGTTGTTAAGTGCCATTGTGTCAGTTCCGACCCATAGTGACCCTGTATAGGGTTTCTAACGAATAGCTGGTGAGCTTGAACCACCGACCTTGTGGTTCTAACTGACTTTGTAGTCCAGCGCATTAGCCCACAGTACCACACCAGGACTCCATGTGGTTCATTATATATGTGAACATATATGCAGCACAGAGTCCTGGTTTGGCGCTGTAGCATAAACATTGGACCACAAGGTCAGTTTGAACCACAAGGTCAGCAGTTCAAACTCACCAGCCACTCCTCAGAAACTGAGTCAATGGTACTTAACAACAACATATACGCAGCATGCACAAACATATGCCTACAGGTACACCTATATGTACATATGGATTTATTCACATATGCCTTCCAATACACATATATGACAGTGCTTCAAAAAGTTCATGGAAAAGGAATTAAAAGGTAAAGGAAATTTTTCATCAACTTTTTGAATCCCCCTCATTTGCATCCATGTCTGTCTACATAACCGTGCACATGATTTTATTATTTTTACTATGATTACAAAATTGTATATGTTACAGTACCTACCAAAAGTGTTCCTTTTTCTTGTGTACTTCTTAGTGTCTTTATTTACATTGTTCAAGTTGTTCTGACTTCACCCATATTTGATCTTGCTTTTCCCATTACTAAAAGTGACAAGTGTTTACTATCTAGAAAGTGATCGCACCTCCCTTTCCCATAGTGTACTCTATTAGTTTCTTCTTTCTCTTTACTCCAGATGCATATATACCCATAGTTATACCTTAGATGGTTGTTTACAATAGCTATAGCTATTATTGCTAATCATTTATTCTGTTTCTACTTGTTAAATTAGTATTACACACTGCTTTAAAGCTGATAAACTTGAAGACAAAGTTTATGTTTTTGTTTTGTTTTCATTTTTGAGTGCCTAGCACACACCTGGAGTCCTGGTACGGTGCTACAGGATAATCACTGGACTGTAAGATTGGTTTGAACCACAAAGTCAGTGGTTCATATTCACCAGCTGCTCCTTAACAATCACAACAAGTAAATATATATGTGTGTGTGTATGTTGCTGTTGTTGTTAAGTGCTGTTGAGTCAGTTCTGACTCATAGTGAGCCTGTATAGGGTTTCCAAGAAGCAGCTGGTGAGTCTGAACTACTGACCTTGTGGTTAGCAGTCCAGTGCTTAGCCTACAGTGCCACACCAGGAGTATATATATATATATATATTATATGTTGTTGTTGTTAAGTGCCGTCGAGTCGGTTCCAACCCATAGCGACCCTGTAGAGGGTTTCCGAGGGTGTAAATCCTTACGGGAGTAGAAAGCCTCATCTTTCTCCCGAGGAACAGCTGGTAGTTTCGAACCGCTGACCTTAAGGTTCGCAGCCAGATTTGTAACCACTACGCTACCAGAGCTCCTTCCAACCTGAGGGTTTATCTTCTGGCAGTGTACCATCACAATATTCTGATGGTGTTCATAATGTTTTCATTTTCCGGCACTATATCTGGCTCCTGATGTGATGCTGTAAGATCAGCACTGGACTTTTAACCACAAGGCAGGCAGTTCAACCAACTTTGGAAACTCTGTACAACCTTTGAAACCTATACAAGCAATAATCATAATTACATTTTTTTGCATGTCTCAAAGTAGTGTCCATTTGTTATGAGGAACTATTATAATTTACCCAAAGTTAGTATATTTGCAACAAAGTCCTCTTTGATGGACTTATTACTTACTTTGCTTAAAATGATTTCTAAAATCAATAGGTGTGCAGCTACACATCTGTACCTTCAGAATTCTAAGTACTGTAGTTAAAAATTACCTTGGTTGAAATACCACCCAGCAATCCAGAACGTAACCATAAAGACGGGATAAAACTCCACACAGTTTTGTCTGAAGGAAAAAGAAAATCATGAATTATTTTGTGAACAAAATCATAGCACCAATCTTTAATCTAAAGGTATATATCCACACCATTCTTAGAAAAATCATATAAGAATGCACAGGAAGTTTTAAAACAATTCTATATTTAACACAAGTCTTTCAAGGTAGAATTCAGACATGGTTTAAGTCTTGGAGTAAGGCCAAGAATCAAATCTCCTACATGTAAATTGCCAGCAGTAGAAATGAATCACAGCTCTTTTCCAAAACACAGGCTTTGAGATGGGCCTTATTCTGAATCCTAAGCAACATTCTATGTCTTACCTAAAGAACCTGAAAAACAACTCATTCTTATTAAGTGGATTTCGTCTCCAAAGTCTCCCATATCCATTGCTTTCCACTTGGGTTACTAAGCACACTAAAAAGTGATCTTTAAACAAGTCTCCTAAACACTCCTGAAGTAAATGAATGAGCATATTTCATTCACATTTTTACTAAGGAAGAAATTAAAGCATGAGAGTCCAAGCTTTGATTCACAAAGAATCAAAAGTGGGCAGCATCTGATTACAAAGCCCTGCCCTAATGTTAAGTCAAATTGTCTCTATTCATAGAAGACCTGGATGGAGATTTTGACACTATTTTAATCAAAAGGGAATGGTTCTTTGTGAGCTATTATTAATTTAACTGCATCTAGAAAAGGAAAAAAAAAAAAGATAAATTATATTAATTCTCCTTCTTGTGCTACACTTCCAAGTGGTCATGGTTAGGTTGACTGAGCTCTTTCCTGACAATATTACAACAAGAAAGGACTTTAATGTAATCCGTATTGAGGTCTTGAGTAGACCTTGGTGGAACACTCATAGTTTGAAAGATGACATATGATTCCACATCCTTCCTTGAAGCGTTAAAGCTTAAGAATTTAAGGCTATGCGGCAATTGGTACAGGAATAGTTGATGCTGGTTTTTGAAGACCTGGTTCTTCTAGTCCAGATCACTATTGGTGATCTTTATTTTTACTTAATGAAAAAAAAAGAAAGTATAACTACAGAGCGTAATTATTCTCTCATTCTCCATAATTCCACAGTGAATTGTGAGTAGGTCGGCTCAACTTGATTAACATATGCATCATTTGAATGAGAAAAATCTCCTTCATAATAATTAAATCATCTCCTAAAACTAGATAAGAAAACTGTATCACCAAACTCAATGCTCATATAAAAATGACAGATGGTAAAGAATCCTGAGGCAACAGTTTAATTTTCCCATCAAGGCTAAACATGAGGCTACCTACACAGTCTCTGAGAGCCCTGAGAGTGATCATCAAAGCCCTGGAAAATCAAAAATTCCTAATATCAATACAAAATTGCCCTTTTCATCATTTTCTTACCATTGTACTAAAACCAGAAAGCCACTAGAAGATTCAAGGGATGTTTTAGCTACAGTCTAATATTGATATCCTTGTTGTTGTTATGTGCCGTGGAGTCGGTTCCAACTCATAGCGACCCTGTACAGGGTTTCCGAGGCTGTAAATCATTACAGGAGCAGAAAGCCTCATCTTTCTTCCACGGAACAGCTGGTAGCTTCGAACTGCTGACCTTGAGGTTCACAGCCCGATTTGTAACCACTGTGCTACCAGAGCTCCTTATTGATGTCCTTACAAACTTAAAAATGACATCATATTGATGTCCCACAGGCACAGCTTTCTAGCATTCAGAGAAGTAACCAAGATTTTTCTATCTTCTGTTTTCTGCGATACTTAATTTTACGTGTTAGCTTGGTTATGCTATGTCATTGTAGTTAAGTGCCATGCTGTTGTTGTTAATGCTGTTGAGTTGGTTCTGACTCATAGCAGCCCTGTATAGGGCTTCTGAGGAGCAGCTGGTGGGTTTGAACTGCCAACCTTGATGTTGTTGTTGTTGTTGTTGTTGTCAAATGCCTTTGAGTTGGTTCCGATTTGTAGTGACCCTGTGTAGGGTTCCAAGTAGTGGCTGGTGGGTTAGCAGTCCAGTACTGATCCTACAGTGCTGACCTTGATGGTACCCAGTTACTCAATTAAATACTAATCTAGGTGGTGTTGTGAAAGTATATTTTTTAGATGTGCCTAAAATCTACAATCAGTTGACTTCAAATAAAGGAGATTATTGTCAATAATCCGAGTTGGTCTTGTCTAATCAGTTGAAAAGCCTAAAAAGCAAAACTGAGATTCTTCTGAGGAAGAATTTGTACCTCCAAACAGCAGCATGAACCCCTGACTGAGAATTTCTACCCTGCCAGCATGTCTTACACATTTCAAACTTGCCAACCCCACAATCACATTAGTCAATTCCTTGATAGATGTACAGTCATGTGTTGCTTAACATCCAGGATATGTTCTGTACAATAGGACATTATGTGATTTAGACCTTCTTTGAACACGATACAGGCCACTCCTGGATTACAAACAAGTTCGATTCCATAATCTATTTTTAAATTGAATTTCTACATAAGTCAGAATGGTTAGGTACAGTTCATATATAACATCAATTAATCAAACACTTGTTTAGTATGTAGAATATAAGTGCATCATCCTATGCATAAAAACACTAAAGAAACATTTCCAGATACATAGAAACATCTTTAAGACTTTGGGATAGTTAAGATTTTGTGTCCACTTGACTGGACCAGGAATCCCAGCGGTGTAGCAGTTGAGATGTGATTATATTTACGGTGAAACTAATACAGGCATAGTTAACTCTTTGATGATTGGCTATGAACAGCCTGCTCCCAATATAATAGGCACTCTGGAAAAGCTTGCTCTCTTTTCCACTGGTTTGGATTTCACATCTGGGTTATCCTCCAACTGCTGGTTCTTTGAACCTGAGCCAGTGTCCTGCTCCATTGTTTTTCTGCTTGTCTGCCTGCTAGGCCCACCTGCCAATCTTGACTCAGTTGACCCAGCCTTGGGGCGCTCCCGCTTTTACAATTGTGAGCCATTTCCTTGATACAAACTTCTCTTCATATATATATA